TTTTTTTCTCTTTGTTGTCGCTATTGCCAATCAAGGCAGTTGAGGGCACGACGTTGTTCTAATGCCTACCGCGGAGAAGAGGAGATGGCGGTATCAGCCACGAGAATTAAGAATGTCCGCTTGGCAGAAACAAACCAGCTCTGCAACATCGGCAGGAAAAGGCCCTTTTGTGAAACGCACTGGGGGAGGGCGGGTGAGTCCAACATGATCCAGATGAAAGCATCTTGCTCATTTTTTTGTATTGTACGTATTCTTTTGCAAGTTGTGGGGGGGGGGGGCAGAGGAGAAGCCAGGGGGGGTGACAGGGGTGACATTCTGGCGGACTCTGTGCAACTGCATTGTCAGAGTGTGTCGCCAACCGATGGCGTCTAGTTCAACAGCCTGACTCTCTAAATCATTCTTGAAATTAACATTTGTTGAATGTCACCCCGGCCTGAAATCCTGGCTCCGCCCCTTGGGGAGGGGGGGGGGGGTGCGCTTTTGGAAAGGGGGTCATTGCTCTTCATCGAATTCCAAGGAGTCTTGACGGCATTTGTGGAGAGCCGAGAGGTTTAAAGACTATGGAGTGCCCCCCACCCCGAGACACTGCGTCCAAATAAAAAAAGTGGCTTCCTACGGGCGAGCGAGAAACCTGTTGGGAGAAGTCTACTGGGATTGCCGCGGCCTCCGTCAGTAAGAAACTAAACTTTCTTCTGACGGCTGCGTAGAAATATGCAGCGCAGAATCCGGCTTTGTCGGAGAAAACCCGTTTTCCTGCAATTAGCGCAATTATGTAATGACTTTAACGTGACTTCGCTTCGACTTAATGTTTCTCAGTACAGATTAGTTCGTTTTTTTTCTTGTTGTTTTGGAGTCGTGGCTCCATTATTACATTTCCAAGCTTGTTCTTTCACTGGGGGGGAGAAACATGGTGAGGACGTGAGGCCAAGTTGAAAATCACCAATTTATACGGGAGTTCATTCCTTCGAGCTAATGTCATTATTGTTTTTTGCTTTACTCCATTGACAACAAAAAGTAAGATCATTGATATCAATCTGTGATTTGGATTTGAATACCAAATCTTTTCAAGCTGAGATAAGGAATTTCCTCAGCCTAGTTGACGACTGCACAAATAACATGACATGTTTTTTTGTGTCCGCTTATTCCAGTTGTGCAAATTAAACATTTCAACTTGAACATGTGAAGGACAATATATTTTTTTATGCAATAAACACGTACCCCTCGCGTTGATACAAAAAACTCCTCATGACGGGGCTCCACAAGTAGATCCGTGCTATCGTCTTCCGTAACCGATCTCTGACATCCCTTTCGCTGCGAGAGTTCGCAATAGTAAAGAAAAAGTCTCCCTTTCTCATGACACTGGCTCCGATAGCACGACCGGAATATGACCGCGGAGGAAAACGCAGAAACGCAAAAGGCCATGATTTTCTACTCTCTCTCTCTCTTATTAAAAACAAATGCTCCGAGACAAATCGCTTCCACGCCGAATCAGACATGCACGTCACTACGAACGCCCGATCCACAGAGCCCCCCCCCCCCTCCCAAGCAACATGCTGAACGATCCCCGTTATCCTCCGGTGCGACCGTGCGTGCTTTGGGGGACCATAACCGAGGATTTTCTCCAGGGGCTCCTCGCAACGGCAGCGTTGGGCCCCAGCGTGGTGCAGCGGCGCAGCCACCGCGGTGTCGGGACACCACCCCCCCCTCGTTCCCCAAAACGTTGAGATGTGGCTCCGAGAAACCCACATCATTTTGTGGCAAAAAAAAAATCACGTCATTTCTGAGTCTGCGTTTTCCTCCCTTCCACGCGGTGACAAATGCCAATTATGCCGACGATAGAACCTTAAACTCCACACGATAGCGCACGAACGATAGGCAAAATACCGATCCTGTGGCCAGTAGATGTGCGGATGTAATATAGCTGTCGTGCAATAGCACTCCGAAGTTGGGGGGACGAAGGTCGTGGATGATGTCTTTGATCTCGCATATGGCCACCATTCACGGGGGACACCCTTAAAATACAATAAACTATTTTATTTACCAGGTAAGTCCCACTGAGCTATGTAGCTCCTTTTCAGAAACGACCTGGCCACAAATGACAGCTCAACGAAGTGGCTTATCACGTGGAAATGTATAGCAGCCAAATACTCCAAACGCGTGATGTTGATTGTAGAATGTGGAGGGGGAAAACCCCGGAGGAAAAATCCACGCGACCAGGCGAAGAAAACGCAAACTCCAAATGTACAAAGCTTCAGGATCGGGATCGAACCCACGACCTCCTGTGTTCCAGGCGAGGTAGTTAACATCTCGGGCACAGTGCCACCGGCGAGGACGGCTGCCTCCGTGGGCCTCGTCACCCCAATCGATGGCGACCGCGCAAGCCGCGGCATAGCCCAGCGAGCCCGGTCTTGCCCCTTTGAAAGGGGACGATGCAAATTCTCTCGGCACAAAGAACCGGCCCGGCGCCGCGCTGTGACGTTTCCCACGAACGCTTGACAAACGCATTGGTTGACTTTTTATGCATTATGTAGGCACATCGCTGACTGTTGCCACCAACGTGGGCACTTTCCGTACAAAACACAACGAAGCCGGGCAAGCGACACAGGGGGTCGCAGGTCACAAACTATCTTGAGGAGTAAATTAATTATTGGCTGGGTGCAGCAGCAGTAGCAATCGCAAGGTTACAAATTCCAATCTCGGTCAGGACTTCACTCAAGTACCTATGTTGTAAGCAAGGTCACCAGCGGGTGTCCTAGGCCAAGACTCGGCCCACCATTAAAGGAATGTGAAATTTTTCCACCGCTGGCTCAGAGCTGGTCTACAAATCCTTTCATTGTCTTGCCCCACCTTGCTACCCGTGGATCTTTCTACGTGTCGCCTTCTCGCCCTCAACGTTCTCAATCTTTGCTGTCTCTCCGTTCCTCCTTGTGCTCAATCCACGCTTTCGCTATTTCTCTCTTCTTGCCCCCCCCCCCCACCTTTCACTGGAACAAACTTCCCCCTCCATATTAGTCACCTTCGCTCACGACTTTTCGCTCCACAATCAAAACTCACCTATTTTCCCCGAGCTCACCCCCACGACCCGTTGATATCCCCTTCACAACCGCCACCGTTATGGTGCCCTCTTCATATTCTCATATGGCTTTCACTAATTCCCCATTCATTCAATACATTCATCATCATCATTTACTGTCATCAATTTTGCTTTCACCAAATTCACGTGTCACAGATGTGCCCCCATCGCTTCCCATCATCTATTTCATTCAACTCATCTCCGCCATTACTTGCATATGTAGTATCGTTGTTAATTCTTTGTAAAGCACCTTGGTTAAGGCGCCTATGTAAATTCCTTTAAGATAAGATGAAGAGGAGATGAGTGGCAGCACTTCACCCGAATGAGCAGGAAGCTACCGACTCTCTTGAAGAATCAACTTTTTTATGCAGGATAAGGAGAATTCTCATTTAGCAAGAATTTCCACCTCGCATTCTCGTTTCCTCTCGAATGCAAAGTCAACTGGAGGCTCACCTGGGTCAATGTACATACTCTAGTCTAAAGATACGTGCACAGAGACGAACAACCATGCCTCTGTATACATTACTTTTGGGAACAAATCAATGGCCGCAAAAATGTAACCCTGCACATATATGCAACAGGGTCGTGAATAATAAATGTCATCGCTATTGATGCTGACGCTTTGGTAAGTTCTGTCGGTTTCCGGGTTGCAAGCGTGTGTTGTCCGCCAAGGTGTCCGATGTTTCGCTTTCCCCAGGAAGCGCCTCTTGAAGGAGTTCAGAAATACGTGCACACCAGCAGTAGTGTAGCTACCGGCAACAGGAGTGTAGCTACCGGCAGCAGTAGTGTAGCTACCGGCAGCAGTAGTGTAGCTACCGGCAGCAGTAGCGCAGCTACCGGCATCAGGAGCGTAGCTACCGGCAACAGTAGCGTAGCTACCGGCAACAGGAGTGTAGCTACCGGCAGCAGTAGTGTAGCTACCGTGTCGCTGTCACTACAGCGGAACGATGGTCAAGGTGTGTTCCATTGGGGCGAGGTGGTGGTGGTGGTGGTGTAGGCGTGGGGAAGGTCTGTCTGATTCCGGGAAGGTTGAGGAAGGGCCATCCTCTGCGGCCATCGTGGAAGTGACCCCCGGAACTGCGAGTTGCATTGGGAGGAGGGGGCCGTTCCCAGCCGAGAGGAAGCGTGAGTACAGTGCGATGCAGAGCTCTGATTTAAAAAAAAAACCCACTGCATTCCACGCGGCACACAGCAAATTGCATCCCCATTTTTTTTTTGCGTAGGGGCGGTGGTGGGGAGGAGACTTTAACCAACTGCTCGACGATTCCCGCAAGCGGAGCAAATCGTCGAGCTGCTAATGAGGTCTGAAAAAAAGGAGAGGCTTTGAATCGATCAGCAAGATGTGAATGGCCACAAATAATGATGAACAAAAAATATAATCCCATCTAATCTAGATTTGAAGTTTTCGTGACTGCAGGAATCCATACTTATTTTATACCTACGTGACTTTACCGAAAGAACCAAAAAATATAATCCCATCTCTTGAAAGAAAAAAAAAAGACTCTCCAATGTAAAACTATCAACGTAAATCGTGGGGGGTCCCCCCCCCCCCAGCTAACCAATGGCATTCCCTCTCCGGAATCAGTACTTTGTTTGGCAGGGCCCTGTGGCAGGAGAGTTATAGAGCGGCACGCATGCACATATCAACGCAGACAAATGCACGCACACTTACACACATATACAAACATGCGCCAGCATGCATACGCTCTCATGTACACAGACACGCTCCGATGTGACTCGGAATTTCTTGCATTCTCTTATCCCCCCCCTCCGCCGCCCCTGTGGGTTTGGAGAGATTATTTTTTTACGTAAACGCGCAGATGCGCGAATCATAAACAGAGCTGGCAACAACAGCGCCATGTGGGAGAGATGACGTCAAGAGAGAAATACACAGACTGCGAGTCCAGCGAGTATCTCGTGTACCAAAAACATTGCACAAAACAGCCATTTATTGCCAATCAAACATTCGTGTCAAACGAAGAGAGAGAATAAATGAAATGTACACCTAAACAGCAAATGATACGCGGTTTTACTTCGATATGCAAAATCCTTCTTCTCTCCGTTTCCACATCACCAACTGCTCTAATGAAGAGTGCAAGATTTGTGCTGTCCCCCCACCCCCCTCTCCTCTCCCGTCTTAAGAATTCGAAACTACTTCAGGCAATTTCATAAACGGACGAAGGCTGCGCGCAGCTGTGGCTCATTTCCACTCCAAAATAAAAAGACGACAGAAACCGCGGCCACCACGGGGAGGGCAGCGTGCGGCGGTCGCGACCCGGGGCAGCCGAGGGCGCCAGATCCCCCGATGACCTCCGGCGTCTACTCCAGAGGTCAACAACCCCCGGGCCACGGACCGGTGCTGTTAGGAACCGGGCCCGCATAGCAGGAGGTGAGAGCGGTGCGTCCGCGGGTAGCCCACCCATTGTTTTATTTACCGCTTCCATCCGCGCCTCTTTCCCGCACTGCGCACTTAGCTCAGTCACAGTTTTGTGTAAGCCCACAAGCTCTAACCCCTAGTAGCCAAAATGAGTTTTCAAAAAACACACACACAAACGTCGCTGGAGAGCTTCTTTGAAAAGGGGGAAAGACCCAATGATGAACCCCCCCCCCTCCACCCCGGTCCATGAAAAAATTGTCTTCCACGAAACCAACACCGAGGTCGCTTGGACGGCGCCTCTCTCAATCTCGCAACTTTGTAGCAACGTCCGCATCTCGTCGGTTGCGCAAGGCTCTTAACAGCGGCAGGCTACGCCACGGGTGATGGAGCGACGGTGGGGGGGGGGGGGGGCAGCCATCCCCCCCCCTCCCCATACGCTTGAATATTTTGTAAAATGGGATGGAGAATGCGGGGATACCGAGCAACATGTTGTGAAACACTAATTACCTTATTTTGTGAACCTGTGCAAGCAAGGCAGGTGAGGTCATTCGCTGCTGAGAAGAGTCGTGCTCGTCAATGGGTTGCTTATATCACGCGCAGAGGCATTTTGCACGGTGTTTGAGTAGAACCCAGCAGCACAGCACGGATGGAACCCTCACCAGCCACCTTACAAATGTTAGCGTTGCACAAATATACATTATTTATTTGTGCGTATGAATGTGTGGTTGTCTGTGTAGAAAGCTGTGACAAAGAGTCTCAAGGCGTCAGTGAGATTATATGTGATTTTTTTCTTGTTTTGAAGTACAAATATTTAGGGCCTCTGTAGGCTTCGGACGTCAATCACACAAAGTATCAGTCTGTGGTCTCTTTAGTTAATCTTGCCTAACCAAAAAACCTATATTCAGACCGTTGCGTTGTACTGGCTTCAACCTTGTTAGGGATCATCAGCACAGCATAACGCGAGTTTTTCCCCTCTTCCATATCGTTCACATGGTTCCGCTCAAAGCTGACAAAATCTATTTGACAATGATTTTGTCGCCGGTGGCAAGCGTTATCGGTCTTGAAATTCCACGATCTTTTGTGAGGGCCTCTTTTTAATCACAGTTACTGTGTATATTCTATTTGTATATAATACGAATGATTATATAACAACAAAACGTCACTTCTGTCATTACATGTTGCATATCTGCTTCGGTCATGATGTGCTGGCGAACGTTACATGGGAACTGCGTTGGTAGCTAATAGGCATCAATGCGAATTTGCTCTGAGCCTCTAAGATCTATGGGTTTTTGTGACAGTGCCCCCCCCCCCCACTCCCACCCACCTCTTCGAAGCTCTCCGAGCTAAACCTCTTTGATTAAAAGTGCTTTCGTGTGGAAACGGAGTGATGCCTGCACCGATCCCACGTTCCCTTGCGTAGCCCAACTCTTCATTGCCATTCACAGTTGGTTTAACATGTCCAATTTTTCAAATATTGGCCTCGCCCTATGATTGTAATGTGTTGAAGATTCATGTAAGCTGGCATTTAATCCATAAATAACTCCGTGAGAGTTATCATCCGTAATGTCCTCGTATAGTCATTTAAGGTAACCCCCACTCCAATATATACAGATTGTCACTTGTCAATGTAATGCTCCCCCTGTCAACTCTTTATATATTTAAAAACATGCAATTAGGGATCTAAAAAGCCAGTCATCCACTAAAGACTGAAAATGTAGAATACTGAGCCACTTAAAGTAAATGTGATGTCTGCAGTTAGGTGATTCATACTTTTTCTTAAATACAATTTTCTCGCAGAATGTAACGCCAACAAGGATTCACTATACAACATTGGTGTCCCTACCAGGAGGCTCAGAGAACAGTTACACTTCAGTTACAACTGATCCTCACACTTAACGATCAAAACCATAAGGAAATCATCAAATGCGGTTCAGTATTTTACAACAAGCTGTTGTATTTAATATAATATTTCCTTCCTAAAAATATGAACGTGCTATTTGTTCAGTTGCAGATATTTTTTTGTGCTTTAGTGCTTTTCTCGGTCAATATAAATAGAGCATTTATACAACGCTGTGAAACAAATACTTTACAATCAAAATATTGCATATAACTGAAAAACGAACGGGCCTCATTTAACCCCTCAATTTCAAATGCACCACATCGGTAACTCAATTGTCCCTTGGCCAAAATAATCCAAAACAAATTATTTGTTGTAAATATTGATTTCGTTGACAACACCTCAATTCAGAAGAAAACAACAAATCTTCCACAGGATTATGAGTCACTCACGCAGGGGCCAACAACGAAAACAAAAAAAAAACCAACCCCCCACGACTCTTTCACTCCATGAATTTCGAGTATCCCAGCTGCGTCATCATCGACGCGCAGATGTCCTCAATCTCACGGATGTCCCTGCGCGGCATCTTCGCCTTCCACGCGCTCACCGCGCTGGCCGAGAGCGGGCCCTCATTAGGCAGGCGAAACACCTGGCTGCGCGTGGCCATCAGGATGCGGTTGATCGCGGCGGGCGGCGCGGGCAGTCCCAGGAACGCGTATATCCTCTCCGAGGCCGCCTGCGGCTGCTGCACCAGCTCCTCGAATCGCACCACCGCGCAGTTCGTCGCCGGCAGCTGGCGGTTGACGCGCAGCGCCGCCGCCGTGCTGGCGAGCCAGACGTGCGCGAGCAGCGCCACCGGAGTGGCATCCGCGTCCGACACCAGCCGGCGCAGCGGCTCGAATTCGAACGCGTAGCCAGACCCCAGGCCGCAGGGCTCGCGCCTCGGCGCGCGCCCGGCGCCGGCGGCCTGGAAGAGGCGCTCGAGCCGCGCGGCAACGTCCAGCTCGGCGTAGTGGCTCGGCTTGCTGCCGTACAGCATGGAGTGGACCCAAGCGCGCGGATCGCGCACCACGTGCAGCGCGCGCAGGGACGAGCCCACGAGGCCCCGCAGGAAGGGGAGCTTCAGGTTCCAACTGCCGCTCGTCAGGTGCAGGGCGATGCGTGTGTTGGGGTAGGCCAGCAGGTGAGCTCGTAGACCCCGGATGTATTCTGCTTCGCTCTCTTCATCCGAGAGGACCCTCTTTTGGAGGAGGGGCTCTGGCTCCTGCTTGGCTTTTGCTCGCCGGAGAGTTTTGCTGGGCTGTTTTTTACGCAGCAACTTTCGCGATCTCAGGGATACAGTGGGAAGCGCGTCTCGTGTGAGCCTCTCAATCAAATCAGTGCTCCCACCTGGTGCCCCTTGCCCGTTAGTTTTGTTGAGCACAAGTGGTGTAAAATAGGCCTCTCCCGGCAGAGCCGTACCACCTAACGACACACCACTCTCATGCGATAACACCCGCCTCTTTGGCAGCAGCCCATGCAGGGGCATATTCTGCAGGTGAAGCCGCGGGTTCCTAAGCAGGGACTGGAACCAGCCCTGCAGCGTGGGGAAGCGCCCCGAACGCACGTCCGCGTAGGTCCACTCGCACGCGTCCACGAACGGGTCCACCTCGAACTCCGTGTCGGGCAGCCTCACCAGGTGTGTGGGCGCCGCGATATAAGCAAAGTCCGTGGTGCCGGCGAACAGCTCTTTGAGGATCTCGGCGCCGGACGCCGGCAGCGATGCGACCACGACGGTGGGCAGGACCGAGTGGAGGTCGGGCTCCGGCAGGGGCCGCTGGCCGTCGCCGTAGTTCCCCGTCGCGATCGGCGGGCGACGGCGCTCCCAGCCGAGGCCGCAGAAGGGGTGCACGCAGGCCCGCCACACCACCAGCAGCTCGACGACCCACAGCAGAACCACGCCGAGCATCGCCAGCCGCACGAGCCGGTTAAAGGAGATGTAGAACTTCCAGCGCACGGCCATGAGCACCAATGCCGTGCCGAGCGTGATGCCAACGGCGAAGCTCACCGTGACGCCCATCAGGTACGCCAGGTCGCTCTCGCCCCCCTGCTCACGCAGCACCACCTGGCTCAGGCCGAAGCGCGTTATCTGCCGCTCGTTCTCCAGCTTGGCGTACCCCGCGAAGCCCAGGTAGGCGAGGCGTGCGGCCGGGTCCTGGTACCGCGTCGCGATCGACACGAGCTGCGACGTGCCGTTGACCTCCAGGTGCAGGCGCACGCCGTTCCTGTGCTCGTCCACGAAGCGGCAGTCGCCGAGCGCGACGAACGGCCCGTGGAACACGTACGCCACGCGCGTTGCCGTCGGCGGCCCTCTCAGCGCGAACGTCACGTTGACGAACTGCGTCCAGCGTTTCTTGAACTCCGCCGCCTGCTCCATGTCCTGCAGGGCGGCGCGGGGACTATTCCCCTGGCTGTCGAACCAAAACATCTCGTACTTTGCGTCCCACACGTCCATCACGGCGCCGTTGTACCTGTCCCTGACCCTCTGCAGCACGTACTTGAAGTCGAGCTCCATGTTGTGGAAGAAGGCGCTCGCCTGGCTGACGGGCGAGGTCTCCGAGCGCTCGATGTGGTCGACCACCAGCAGCGTCTGCGAGTTGAGCAGCAGCAGGCTTCTGTAGACGCTCTTGAGACCCATGGAGGCCGAGTAGGCCGACGCGGCCTCGCCGCTGGTGAACATCAGCTCGCCGTGCTGCGACGCCGTGATCACCTCTCCCGCCGTGTCGCCCACACCCTCGCCCGTCCACTTGAGCCACTGGAAGCACTCGCCCAGCTGGCCCTCCCAGGGCTGGTTGCACTGGCTGGTGGGCGACGGCCCGAACACCAGCGCGTTGTTAAGATACGTGTGCTTGGGGCCGTACAGCGCCTCGGCCACGAACGCCTGGCCGTTGGGCGCGAAGGTGAATGAGTTCTGGTCGGGGTGCTCGTGCCCGGGGTTGAAGTTCTTCCAGCCGTTGATCCACGAGTAGGCGCCGCTGTGCACGATGTCGAACACCGCGCGCCCGCCCATCTTCCCCGACTTGAAAGACACGAACGTGTTGCCGGGGGCTCTGGGCAGCCCGCCGCCGTACGTCACCACTCCCCAGTTGGAGAAGACGTGCATCCTGGGCGCGGCGTGGTCGGCGGGCGGTCTGGGCACCAGCTGCGCGTCGTACCACAGGTACTCGGTGTGCAGCGTGCACCAGCGCTGCGACGTCGAGTGCTCCATGGGGCCGTCCCTGGGTCTGCTCCGCCGGATCTGCTGCGCGAGCCAGTTGCCGCTCCCGTTGCGCAGCACGTACCTGTCGAGGAACACCAGCTGGCTCTCCGGCCCGTAGAACCAGTTGTAGTTGGAGTCGGCGATGCCCACCGTCCGCTGGTAGCCGGGCAGCGACGTGGCGTAGTAGAACCAGAAGTGCTCGCGCAGCCACGTGCTGTTGGTGTGGTTAATGCCAAAGTGCCGCAGCGCCAGGAAGATGTACTGCGTCACCGAGCGGGACGTGTAGCTGCCGTAGGCGACCCCTTCGTCCAGAGAGCCGTCCACCACGTGGTCCAGCAGGAACAAGGTCCTCTCCATCAGCTCCGTGGCCGCTTGCCGCCAGGGCGCCGCCGCCGCCCGGTCGTGCGCCTCCACGACCAGGGCGCCCGTGAGCAGCGCCATCACGTTGGTCACCTCGTGGTTGTGCAGGTAGTGCTTGCCCCACGCGCGGAACTTGGACAGCTCGTACATCTCCTCGGTGACGGCGCGGATCTTGGCGAGGTGCGCGGCCCTCCGCCGCGCGTCCACGCGCGGGTACAGGAAGTCGAAGGCGGTGGCGAAGCCGACGAGCGAGTGTGCGACGGGCACCTCGTCCTGCGGCGCGTCGCGCACCTGCCAGCGCGGGTAGCTGCACATGCGGTCCATGTACTCCAGCGTGAACTTGAGCGCCGTCTCGTCGCCCGGGAAGAGGACGCAGTAGATGGCGAGGGCGCCCAGGTTGTTGCCGTAGATCTCGTTCCAGCGCGCCGCGAACGCCTCGTGCTCGACGGGCGGCAGATAGAAGGTGGCCTTGGACATCATGCTCTTGACCGAGTTGCGGATCACCTTGGCGAGGTGCGCGTGCGTGGTGTGCGCCTGCTGCTGCAGCACGCGCGCGTCGCCCGGGCCGAAGTAGAGCAGCGGGTGTGGGAGCCGCCCCTCGGCTGTCGAGATGCAGCAGCAGCAGCACAGGATCAGCGCCAAGCCGAGCTGCCCCCCCGTCAGGGAGCCCAGGCACACGGCCATCTCGAGTCCGTGTAGCCGGTTCTGCCGAGCATGTGCCTTTCCACTAAGTCACAATCCCAGTCTGGGAGAAAAAAATATATTAAATCCGACCCAAAGAAACTGAAACTTTAAAAAAAAAGTTCTCTCTCTCTCTCGCTCCCTCCTCTGTCTCTCTCGCTCTGTCTCCGAGTCTCTTTCCCCCCCCTCCACCACCTCACTTTGCTCCTTCTCGTCCGCCCCTTTCAAACGGCACGCTTTTTAAAACTACAGCCCCTCGTTTCCTACGTGTGCCACATCTGCTAGCGATCAGAGAGGGCTCCGCTCGCCGATACACTTTTCAACTTTGCAACTACTCTACGCAGAGGCGCTCGTTCGCGCCGCGGACTCCGCGCAGCAGCAGCAGCAGCAGCCGGAGCCGGCGAAATCGCGACCACTCGGACGCGTCTGATGTTTAAAGGCTGCGTCTCGCACCGAGCGGCAACACACACACACACGAAAAACAGACCGGAGATGGCCAGGCTGGGCTTAAGACGGGGGGTGGAGACAGGCGAAGGGCTGCAGGCGGCTGGGTTTGGGGAGGGGAGGGGTGGGTGTAGGCTTGGCACTGCAGGGCAAGGACGCGCGTGCGTGCGTGCGCGTGTGCGTGCATGCGCGGGAGGAGATTTGGGAAGCGGTAGTGCAGCGGTTAGCGCGCTGCGCTATGAACCCGGCCACCTGGGTTCGATTCCCGCTCACGGCCAACGCCTGTGACGACTCAGCATCAATTGCGTACTAGGGAGACAAAGGCGGTCGGGCGTGGTTCTGGCCACCAACCCCTTCGTGTGCCGTGCCGGCCTTCATAGGTGCTCGCTAACAGCACTCCCCACCCCCCCCCCAAAAAAAGTATGTTACAGGCTACGCGGTGGATCTTTGTCTTTGTGGGGGAGACGGAGAAGGTGGAAGTGGGGAGGCGGAGGGGTGGGAGGTACTGCACATGGTCCTCAAGATCAAATTTCTGCTCTGAAAAAGTGGCGGGGGTGGGTGGCGCTGCAGTGCTGGTGGCAACCTACGTGGGTGAGCGCTGCAATGGATGTTCGCGCACAAACGAATGGAATTCTACTCGTGAAAAAGCCGTGTTCAGCAGCATTACTATTCATTAGGTTATGTACTGGCGAAAGAAAGCCATTATTTTATTGGTCATGCATTTCCAAGGATGGTTGTGGGTACGGGGCTTAAATGTGTTGTTTTAATTAACTTGACTAAGTTTAGTTGAAGTTCCAGCATATTGGACCGCGGGCAGCAAGTGTTTTTTTTTCTAGCATCCTTGGTTACGACAGCTTATTACTAACATACTGCAATAAATGTACTGTGTAACATCATAGCGTTGGCTTTGGTGTCACACCCTAAAGGAGGCAAGTTACCTGGGTAACTGATGATAGGAATTATAGTTCCCACTGTTTAGCAGAAGACTCCAAGCAAAACTAATTAACTTTAACACATTTTTTACATTTTTTGGGTGCCCAAACATGAAATTCTGGTTTTCATATTCTTTGACAGTGCAATAAGCAGACTTTGATTTATCTGTGTCAAATTCCACGCTCTTTTTTCTAGAACATTGCTAGAACATTGCTAGAACTTAGGTACGAGTATTCATAACAATTATAGAGAAAAAATACGAATTAAAACTTGTGCGCAGTGGTAAAAGGTTATGAATATTTAAATGATGGACCACAAAATGTATTATTCCCCTCCGATGTTATATGTTTATTTTTTAGCATATTACTAAACTGTAGACACAATAACTGCAAAATCGTGTCCATGTGGGCATCGCTGCCTTGCCACGGTAAACAAACTACAGCGCAGTTTTTCCGAAATGTCTTCATTTTTCGGACCCCCCCCCCACCGTCAACAGCCCTAGTAACAGTGCACAGCTTGTGCCTCTGTAATTACTGCAAGGACAGGTAGCACCTTTCAACAACGGTTAGTTGTGCAATATTCCTTTGGACCCTGTACTTGTTCTCAGCAACAATGACGTTTTATTTTATTTTGCTTGTATCGCTGTTGCTGCGCGCGCTCACGCAGCAACACGATCTCCCTTGTAAAATAACCGGGCAACTGGATAAACGGGATCATCCGTGTAACAAATTAAATAAACTCAATAAGCCTGCACGTGACATTCAGAATAATTAAAGGAATAGCGTGCCATACGCATTGGAAGCTGAAAGAAGCCACGTTTCTCCCAAATTATAAACTAAATGTTGTAATAATTTGTCATTGTGGTCACTAAAAAAAAAACATCCAATGCTCCTAAATGCACACAAAATTTAATTTGAGCACAAGCAACTTATTTTTAAAAGTGATATCAACTTTTCAACCACATTATCTAGGTGTTCTTCAGTCCGGTATCTTTTCAGATGCGTTCACAGTCACAGTCTGTATTGAATGTTTACAGAAAGAAGACTAAGAGTGCTTTGTTTGGAAGACGTTTTTGTCACTCCGATGTTTATCACCATGGGTCATCTCTCCTTTAGAAAGTTTTACATTCAAACGTAATGTCTATGCCCACAACACTACCGCTTTCGAAAGAAGTCTGTCAAAACAAGACGCTTGTGAAATTGGGACGATACTGGGGAGAAAAAAACATAGAGGACGTTTATACCATCACTGTGACGAGAGCCAAAAATAGGTATAACGGAAACATTTCCTAAAAACGCCACTCAGAAGACGGAACAGTTATCTCGATATGCAGCTAAGTTCTACTGTGAATGAAGTTTTTAAAGTCTCTGTGTAGGTCCTGGTTTGGGTGACTTTGGCCCAAACGCATCAATGGTACAGTACACGATTTCTCGTTTATCACGGGATCTACTCAGCATTCCGATCCATAAACACAGCTGCGCGACACATCAGATAGCGCTGGTAATCGTGGTAATGCACAGACACAAACATTTCACTGGAGCAAGAAATGAGGATTCTGTACAGCAAATGGCAGGTCGACGTGTGGATAAGCAAAAGGCAGTCCATCGCTCACTGGCATTTGCATATGGGCCCCGCATTTATTTATTTGCGTACGTTGGAAATTACCGTTGTAGGCTCACAGCTCCGTCGGTGGCTTCAAAGTGTTTTGAGTTTAGCAGGAAATGCCTAAGGCTCAAAGGGTGGAAAACGAAGGCACCATAACCCGACATTTACAGGCCTTTGTAAAGCTGAACGCCAGGACATGCACTGGGAAAGATTAGCCTCCTTCATGTTTTAGGAGAGCTGTTTCAATCTTCTAAGGTGCACACGTGTGTTTTTGATGTTCTCCATCCCTTCATGGCCACTGGGCAGGAGGGTAGACGAGACATGATGTATGGTTAATCGCAGGGCCTGGTTTTCCTCCGGAACTGCCTGTCCGTGTTATCGCTGCGGTATTCGTCAACACGAGCGGGTTGGCGCCTTGTGTTTTCAAATGTCTTTTTTCCCTGGAGCAGGCGGTACTCACCAGCACTATGAAATACAGGTGTTGCACAACCAATAACCATGCTCTGGGATAGCACTGTTGTAAATGAGTGTTCTTAAATCCATAAATAACTCACTGATTTTCAAGGCTCTTTTTGAGATATTCGGACAAATCTACTCACAAGCGTTTGGCATATGGGATGAAAACACAAGTACACAGTGCCATACGATAGTGCAACACTCAACACGCCGTGCACAGTTGAAACTTAAATCCATCGCTCTACTGCCATCTCCCGACCACCTCCAAGTCCAAGGCTACAGCACACACCTGGTATTCGCATGCAATTCCTCTAGCCAAGCGCTGGACTAACCAGGGCTCAATTCTCCATAGGTTTAGACATCTGACGAAAGATGTATTCTGCACTCTGATGTGGCTATAAACAACCGTTGCCCTCGGCTTGACTTTTAAAGCTCTCGTGACTGCAAGGATTCATCTTCATTGGTTCTTTCGGTAAAGTCACGTAGAATGAGAATAAAATAATAAATTGATAAAATAACACAATAAAATTCTCACGACGTTTCGGCCACAACACAAGCGGCCTTCATCAGGTGAAGGGACGAGACTGTCTGGAGGACATCAGGTGAAGGGACGAGACTGTCCTCCAGACAGTCTCGTCCCTTCACCTGATGAAGGCCGCTTGTGTTGTGGCCGAAACGTCGTGAGAATTTTATTGTGTTATTTTATTTTATCAATTTATTATTTTATTCTCATTCTACGTGACTTTACCGAAATAACCAAAGAAGATTCTCTCTTCTTACCTGATGTCACTGCCCCTCCCCCGCCCCGACACGTTTGCACATTCTACAGGGCACTCCCAACAGGCTTTCGACCACTCACCGTAATCATTGACCATGATGAATCCACCGCCGGATGAAGGCCCCCCCCCAACCCCCAACAGCCGTCGCCACCTCACGCGGTCTTGCGATTTAACAAACCTGCAACGCCCCCATTTCATAGCTCCATTTCCACGGCGGTCGTCCCTCTCGAGTGTCCCCCCTCCTCCTCCACCACAGTCTCCTTTGGCCGCCACTCTGTTGTTAGCCTCGACCATTGGTGATGGTGCGTCTTAGCTATGTTCCTGCCCAAGCTCCCCTTTCTTAACGCTCAATACAATACCTCGGTGTCCTCTTGATCCATTAGTTCCCCATGTGTCGCTTCAGTGCAATTCCAAACGTGCACATCACCGTGTTTACTTTTGCACGCTCTTCAATTTTGGTTTCGGTTTTTTTTACGATTAAATATATATAAGATGAGAGGTAAAATATCACCCGGACAGGCTACCCACAAGCCAGTAAATAAAGTATTAACTCATAATAGTTTTTTTTGTTAGATCGCGTAAATATGTGTCGTTAAAACCCGCCACCACCCGACACAGACAACTCGTAAGGGTTGTCACCTAAACAGAACGTGGCCAATTCGTCACTAGTACAGCACACCGGTGCGTTGGAGAGCCAAGCCACAACATTTACAATCTGAGTACGACGTTTCGCCAGTAATTACAACTAGCTTCATCGGGCGACAGCCAACTTTTTATATTTATATATTTACGCGATCTAACCCCCCCAAAAAAAACATCTTATGGATGATATAGGTCGCGAAAGCCTACGTGTTAAAAATTATAAACTATGGCGAGCACATTGGGCTTGCCTTCCAGGCGTCCGTCGGTTCAGTTCGACCTCCAGGCACGGCAGTTGAAACGATGGTTCAAGCTTCTTAAATTCCCCGTATCCGTTCCACCAAGCAGGTCAATTTGATGCACCACACAGTTAGTGGATGGGCAGGTCACGTTCGGTGGGGTAAAGTGTGGGCAGGTTCGGTGGGGTAAAGTGTGGGCACGTCCACGTCCTTCCAAGGCGTCCGGCCACCACGAAAGAGGAGGTGCTCCCTGCGGCGTGAGCGAGCAATTGGAGATGCTGCGCTTTGAGCTTTACCTAAACTCATCGGAAAGACGTGTACTCTCGGCAGCGGTCACTTTGGTTTGGCTTTGTGCCAGTGCGTTATGGTTAGCGCAGAAGGTATGGTTAATCCTCGTACTGACAGCAGCTAGGCAGCTTGGCTCGGTGCCAGCAAATATAATAACAGCACCGCATGAGACTGCACCTTCTACCACAGACATTTGCCACGCGAATGACAAGCTCCTACAGCTGCTATGTGCTGCCCCTTAGTGCCTTTTCTGTGCAATATGTAGATGCTTTACACTGCCT